TTCCCTACGTTTACCCAGTTTTCTCCTGTTTTGCTGGTACAGGATCAATGCGGTGTCTAACGGACAAGTGCGGGGTGACAGTTACAGCGAAGGCTGCCTAGGACAAACAGGTACGGTGGCGCAGGCTGTTGTACGGCGACAGATCTGTGAAGCCTTTACGTCTTGGAGGAGTTGTAAGAGCTGTAGCAGCGTGCACGTTGTGTATCTGTGCACAGCTCTGGCTTGTGACAGAAGGTGCTCTGAAACCAGAGCATGCTGAAAGTCAACAAGGGTCTGTCCTCAGACACGGGCCCTAAACGTCCCTACGCCTTTTTCAAGGTGCTCGGATCTGGCTCTTCATCGGTTTTATGATGGCTTTTGGATCTCTGATTGCTTCCATGTGGATCCTTTTTGGAGGCTACGTTGTTAAAGGTAAGATACAGTATGGCATGTGACCTGATCCATTTTTGAAAGCTTAAAGTATTTTAAATGACTACTAAATTTTAGAACTTATTTTTAGACAGTTTCTAGGCAGGACCAGTTTTAATATTTTGGTTCCCTACGCACCATTCTCTACTATCTGCTGTTATTGGGATGGATTTTATCTACTTCTATGTCACAAACTTCTAACTAGCCTCACTGGAAACACAGGTCTCGGTCAACTGGGAACTATACTGATATAATTAAACTGCTGCAGTTATATGGGAATAATTCCCTGGATGAACACTTATTCCCAGAATAAAAATCACTGATTTTGTGCAGATTGCTCCCAAAGCCTGTATGCTAAATTAGCAAAAGGGAAAAAAATAATTCAAATTGCCTATTTAAATTTCATACCTTAACGTGTACCACGGTAACTTTTTGTGAAGGCAAGTCTTGAGAGAGACATGAAAACTGCAGTGCACTAGTCTGTGTTTTTCCAAAGGAAGTTAGGTCACTGAGGTAAATGTGAAGAACTACGTGTACCCGGAGCTGAAGCGAGTTTCAGACGGGCCAGGGCACAGTGGTGGGTTTGTTTCATTTACATTCTCACCAGCTCTGCCCTTACTCAGTTCACAGGGGATTTTCAGGGAAACCCAGGTGCCCGAGTTGCATAGTAGCGTTACTAACGTGCGCTCCCGCGTGTATGTGGACGTTAGATTTGAATATATATGTCTATATACCTACACCCACACGCATCCCAAAGAGGCTGTGCAGTCCCACATGGTAATTGCAGTCTTCACGAGCATTGCATTTGAGGGGCACGTTTTTGGTTAGAGGACAGGAGAGGCTTCCTTTATTTGGAAAGCCAAGTGATTTTAGGGGGTCAAAAGCCATCGAATCAACTTTCCAGGGGGGCGAGGCTTATCCTTGTCTCCCGTGCCGCACAGCTGAGCAACAGAGGTTGGAGGGGACCACCTTGTTAGAGAAGGAAAGGTGTCTGTGCGCTGCGCGGCGCTGCCTTAATGCCCCGCGAGAACCTGGCTTCGGCAGGTTTGTTATGGAGTCGCAACAGCCCGAAGAGTTGGTTGTCATTTACCCCCACAGCTGCTCGGGAACCCCGCGCTGCGCCGGACCCCTCCGGCCAGCTCAGCCCGACCGCTGCGTCACGGCGCGTAGACTCCAGATGTTCGTGCTTAAAGGAAACGGCTTATCTTCGCTATCGCAGCGGAACTTAGTGTTTCTGACATGTCAGCGGTGGGATATTCTTGAAAACGACTTCCAAAGAATTTATGGAGTTTTTTTTTCTCTCGTTAGAAAAACCAGTAGTATACCCGGGAATAGCTGTGTTTTTCCAGAACGCGTTCATCTTTTTCGGGTAAGCCTGTCTTCCTTTGTTCATTTCTTAGCTGATTTGTTTATAATGATTAAAACTGAAACTTGCTGTAATCTGTTTTTTCTTGAGCCCCGTTTCGTAACTAGACACGGGTGAACAAGCTGCTGGCAAAGGCAGCAGACCTCTGGGATCTGTCTGCATAGGTTTCGTTGCAGGACCAGCAACTGGGTTTACAAATACTACAGCTTGCTCCCTGAAATCAAGTATTTAAAATGCTGGGTATTTGATTCGCTCTGTTACGTACTCACGTCCCTTCGTTCTGTTTTAAACAGAGGCCTGGTCTTCAAATTTGGTCGCACGGAAGATTTGTGGCAATGAAGGCGCCTGTGGAAGTACGTTGGCCATGCCGGCTTTTTAACTGCACGCTCCCAAAATTTTGTAAAACCATTTTGTAACGGGTGACCTTCGATTGTGTCTGAAGAGAAAACAAGGAAGACTTAAATCATAGCACTAAAAATTCTCGTTCTGTTCTGTTTCATTTTTTTACTCTTGTATGTTGATTTAAATGTTGTGATGTTTTGACAAACGTAACCTTGCCACAAGTAACAACGGAAGTCGCTTTGATGATAGGATGTTTGCTACAAGTAAATGGCGTAGTGGAAAACGGATGTATTTAACCAGCTGTTTCTATGATGTTCTTTACAATCCAAGACTTACTAAAAATGCTTTAAAACAACTTTTTAACATATATTTATTAAATATTTCCTATATCTGGACAATATAACCATTTCTTCAATTTCAAAACTTACTGGTGTTTGGCTTTTCTTGCATAATACAGAGCTATGCTGCTTTGGGACTTTTTCTTCCCCTTCCCTGAGTATTTAATTTATCCCGTGACGATAACGAGGAGGTCTCTGGTGAGTAACAACTTACCGTTGCTGCGGGTGACGCTGGAGAGGCGCGAGTACAGATTGCGTGGTGGCTCATCCCCGAAGCTGGCTGTCAGCTCTCTCCTAACCGCTGTAAAAGAAAGGAAGAGCACTCCTCGGAGCGGAGGTACCCTCCAGGCCAGCGCCCGTCGCTGCCAGGGAGAATTTTGATCCTGCAGCGTGTCAGCGTCGTTCCGGGCTGCGTCACCATGCGCTGGTGAACTCGGCAGATGACTGGAAATAAGAAAAACCGGCCCTTCCTCTGCGAGTCATTTCCCATGGCTTGAAACCCGTCTCGCGCTTCTTGAAGGGTAGTGATCCTCTTTGCTTAATCCCCGATGAAGGAACTGAGGTCAGCGAGCATCGAAGAACTCGCGCTTTGTCTTCAATGTCACAGTTTTCCTCATTACTTCATTTTTAAGCAAGTGTGCTCAATAAATAAGAACAATCACATTTTGACTTTTTTATTAGGTAAGCATTTTTGAAGGAGTTTTTCTATGCCACCTAGTTTGAAACAAAGGAGAAACACTGAGGATCACAATCCATTTAAAAACAAGGGTTCGCTTGCACAGAATCCTCTGCCCGTCAGCCCAAGCTCGCGCCCCAAAGCCCCCTGCTCGTCTCGGAGTAAAACAGCTCAACGTAAGACGCTTCAGAAATGGGGCCTTAGCACTGGTACCAGGCAGCACCAGGGACTATCCCCCCGTCTCTCCGGTCGTCCGAGCCTTTTGGGCGCGCAGACAGGCTGACCTGAGGTTTGCTGCCAACTTCAACAGGAGTAAATCCCGTGGATCTCGGGGGCAGCATCCACAAGCAGAACAATTTAACTTCTTGCCATCTGAACTTCCAAAGAGCTAGCCTGAGCCAAGCGATTATAGATTTTTCTTCAAGCAGTCAGATAACTCAGAGCTCAGTCTGGCAAGAGGCAGAGTTCGATCCAGCTCACTCATCAAATCCTTGCTTAACAAGACCTTCAACAGAATTAATTTAGCTTAAAAACAAGCACTTCGGCGCTTCGCTAGATAAGAATGAGTATGTACTCCTTGAGAAATTATACTTTAAAATAGACATTTTGGCTTTTAAACTTGGGAGCTAAAAATAGTTTAAAGTTTCCGAGCATTTTGATTGATAAGCCGTTACTGCAATGAATGCAGCCGACTTCTTTGTACGTGTCCTACAAAAGAACATTTCGGGTAAGACCAACAAAGCAGAGAAGCAGAACGCATTCTAATTTTGCATCTGTAGATTTACACTTGTATCTTTCAAGAATAACTGGAACAGTTTATTAGTAATGTTTTGTGTGTCCGTTGGGATGGCTTTTTTGAGCCTGAGAATCGACACTTAAGTGCTCTTCCAACCCATCGTGGCTGCTCATTTTCTCTAGTGGCAAACAGGAAAAGCTGATCGTGGTCAAGTGTCAGCTGGGTTCCTCCACTCAAAATCCGACAGCCAAACGGGGAGCCTGTGAAGACAAACGTTCTTGTATCAGAACGTTTTAGGCATCAGATCATCATACGAAAAAGGCGACGCAAAACCTTATTAGAAACTTATTTTCATCCGTTTCTTTTTTCTGTAATTCAGATACGGCGCCGCATTCAGCACCTACCGGTGCGCAAGGCCTGCGTTTGTGCGCAGGCCGAACAGCCGCTCCGCAGCCGCGGAGGCCAGGAGCCTTGGTCTGTTTTCACAAAAAGCACCTCACGTTCCGCTCACCGGCTTCTAAAAACCCCGCTCTTAGGTGCTGCTCGGGTCTCCTCAGGACCGCGTGTGCAGCCCGGAGGCCAGGGCTGCCGATCCCAGAGGATCTCCGAGCACCGATGGTTACGCGTTACAGCCGCCACGATCACTTCGGCTTCGGCCCTGTGCCCGCCCGCGGCTCTGACAACCCCAGCTGAAGGCTACAAGCATTTATAACGTCCAGGCTCTGATCGACTGTGGGAAACCGTTTCCATCAGGGCATCCAAAACGTACTGTGCGATGGAACTGTCCCCCCCTTTTTTTTTTTAATTCAAATACCTGGAATTCGTCAACAAGGTGCTATATGTACTCCCACACAGTGAATTTTGCCTTGAAACTTACCTCCCAGTAAAACTGGTCATCAAAGTACTTCGATACAGGGGTGGTCTTAAACAGTCTGAAGTTTAAGATTAGACCTATTTGCAAAAACACATAAATCCAACATAAACACATAGAGCAGGGCAAGGGGGAGATGGTGTGTCACTGAAGGGTTCTTACTAACGCGCATCCAAATGTAACACAGCTCCAAATGCAAATGCAGAGCTAAACGCTTCAGCAGAGCCCCTGACTCACGTTGACCTTATGTGCAAAGAGAGAAGCTTGCCAGGATTGAGGCTCGTGTTATTAAAAATTAATTACTCTAGGTAAAGCCCCATTAAACAGCCTGCCAGATTCTAAAAACACATCAAAAATTATTAACTTCTGGCATGAAAAATGCCCGTGTATTTAAAGCAATCGAGCTGATCAGCACTGGGATTTCAGATGGAAACATCTAGATTTTTAAACAATTGGTTAAACACTGAATGTTTGATTATTTTAGTTGAATGTTTTTTAAAAATCTGCTTGATTAGCTCAACTTCTTAATTACACTTCAGGTAACGCGAAGGTTTCGGATCAATTAAAGCACAAAAAAATCCCGCTAGAGTACATTTCACAGCAATTTCATCTGCCGTTTCTCTTTTACTCAAGACAGAACTAACAGCCATAGAAGAACTGCGGCTGCCATAAACCAGACAGAACGTCACATGAGGAGCACGAGCCCTGACGGTCCCAGGGCAGCGATCAAAGGCCCAGCGCTCGGCTGACGCAAGCCAGCTACTGACGTTACTGAAACGTCGCAGAGTTACACCGACTGGCCTAAAAAGTGAGAAGCTCCAGAGAGCATTTTTCTGTCACTGAGACAATACCCAAATGTAAAAGTATTTTCATCCTCACACATCTCCTGTCTGAAATGTGAAGGCAGCTGTTCAGCATCTGTTCAAATAAACTTCACCAACGCAAGAATGGTGCTACTAGGTTACTGATGTTGAATACATCTCTTCTTCAAAAGACGGGCTTTGAAGAGCCCCTGGCGTTCGTGTTTCCCACGGCTGCTTCTGCAAAGAATTTACCCGCAGAAACACAGGGCAACTGAGGAAGGTATTACTGGAACGTGTTTTTCAATACTGACCTGTGATAAAACCTGTTACCAAGGCAACACTGATGGTCTGGCAGTAGGCACCAACGTGAAGCAAGACCAAATAATCCACCCTGAAAAGCAAAACAAGTGTTTCACCTCTTAGAGTTGCTGAATTTAGCATTAAGACCGAATGAATCTGTGTCTACCTGGCATTTTACATCAAAACCTCTTGTAAAAAATCTGTTATTCTTGAATCTCTCTGCAGTTGCAGTTAGATGCTTTAAGAGGTCTTATCAGAAGCCTAATACAGACTTCAGAGGACATATTTTGCCCTTAGAAGCCATCGTTGTGGTACTAAAACATCTTAAATTTGTTTGTTTCAATAAGAATATGACGGGAAGGGTAAGGCCCTTACGCTGCACTGTGATTCATTCCCGCCTAAGTTGAGAAAATCAGAGAACTTCTTGTATGACACGACATGAGCTTGATTTGCAAACACGAGATGCCAGTGCCAGATGAAAACACCCGATGGAGAATATCCTTAACCCAGCCCTTCAGCTTTTGCAGGGTATCTCCCCAAGTACAGTTTCCAGTTCAGTGCCCAGACTGGCTTTAGTCCAGACGGGCATTCTTGCCCCTGACTCAGAGCTAAAGCCTCATTCGAAGAGAAATGCTGATTTCTGCCCTCCCGTATTAGCATACAGAGCTCCCCAAAACACATCACAAAAGCCAAAATGAGTCTTGGAAGGATGCACATCCCCAGCCCTCATCGCCTGTGTCTGCTCTATTTCATATCAAATAAAAAGGGAGACAGAAAGCAGGACCAAAAGGTAATACTGAAGTTTTGATCCAAAGTCTGCCCAACTCTGAAAGTCTTTTTTACCGACTTCAGAGATTATCTTAGGTTATCTGGTATAAAACGATTTATCTGAGATGACATTCAGGCTTTCTGTATGTATGAGAACTCTTCTCAAGGCATACTACAATAATGATTAGCTAAGCTTATTACTTAATAGCAAGAATTTATGTACCTTGGTAAATCAGTCCAGTTTCTTATTACTAAGAGAACGACCTGGGCAAGAGCTCCGAGCACAGCAGGCAAGCCAAAAGTGAAATGAACTCCAGAGGTATCATGAATCTTGAGAACAGGATTGAAGCACCTCTGGGAGGAAGAAAAGGTTTAAGTGATACACCGAAACACAAGCTGACAACAGCACATTGTCTGTCGCAGACCTAGAAAATGAGCTTTGGCCTTGCGAGCTGCAATCCTGCGCTCTGCTCAAGACTTCAGGTTTCCTAGCTTTAATCCCTTTGAAAGAGAGGTTTCCCTTGAGCTATCCTACATTGGAAAAGAAGTTTATACAGCTTACACAAAAACCAATTTCAGGTTTTGAGTACTACCTGTAGACAGTAAGATCCTAATATGGTTGTCACACTGGCAAGCAGACCCAAAATCATGGCAATCCAAGGGTACTCGATACAGTGTGCTGCACTACCAACCGTGACCCCAGCAGCTAGCACTGCACTGCGGATATGAGTCTGTAAAATAAAACAAAAACATGGAGTGAGAATTCAGTCACCACTGATAGCAGCCCAATATTATAGATTGCTATTCTCATGCAAGTGCGATCTCTATAGGGTGAATTTGGGCCTCTGTATACCGTAAATTACAATCTGAGAACACAATTTCTAAGTTACAGCTTCAGTGTTCTGCTTGGGAGGCTAATGATGACTGGCAGGCTGAAAACCTGGACTTGTTTTTACTTAATAGCTGTTAGACTTTCAGTGTATTACTGAGAGTACCAGAAAAATACCTTCTCCATGCAGTGATTTTCTCTCGTGTCTTACCATTCTGAATCTTCCATCCTTTGTGGTCAGAACAGACAACATGAAGGCAGTTACAGCACTCACTGCAAGGGCAAAGTAGGTGTTGTAGATTGCTTTGTTCTTGTTCATAGCTAGTATGGAATTGAAGCTTGGCCAGAATACCCAGAGAAAGAGAGTACCTTGGAGACAAAGACAAGCAACTATCATTACCTGCTCTAAAACACAGTGAATCCATCACCAGCTGTCTCTGGAGAGCTCCAGCCCACGTTTTGCATTCCCTGTAATTCCCACACCGTACACAAAGGATAACGCTTCACAGTGCAGACAGCCCCGAGTCACCTGCTACACCAACACCTTCCCAGAAACGTACCGCCGCCACGGCAAACGCAGCCACAGCACAGCCCCGCCGGCACCTGGCCGGTCCTTCGCAGCGTTGAAGGTAGGATGCCCTTTTCAAGAACAGCTTTAACATCAGCTTTGTCCTAGCTATCGTCCCCTTAAACGCAGGTTCAGATACAAGTGGGAACAATGCCACTCTTGATTTCCAAACAATCAGCGTCCTGCCTGTTCTGCACAGGCACCAGGGGCTTGCTCCTTGGCCAAAATTTCTGCTCCTTTTCATGGAGCTGTGGAATAACTGTTCAAAACCAGCTGCAAGAGAGAACGAAAGCAAGCCAAGGAAGAAGAGAAACCAGCTCACATGGTACAAATTGCTATAAAGAAAAACAAAGTGCACTTTGGAAGTATGTATGACTGGTACTGGTTCTCTTGCCTCCTGGCAGGGTTTGAAGAGAAAAAGAGAATAAACTGGATCATAAGAACAGAATCCTCTCTACCTCTACTAGGACTGCTCCAGAGGATGGCTAAGACCCATAGCTTGAGCTGAGGTGATCATGCTTCACCAGCTCACCTACACACAGCTTAACTTCCTTGTTATTTGTGAGAGCGCTACCTACCGAACGGCTACTCCCTTGTATGTGGGTCCAAAAGAACAATTCACTTTCCTCCTGTAAGATCACTGTACAGCGTCACACTTTCATGACCACATAGGCTTCGCTAACAATAGGAATGAAAACAGGTTCTTCTGCTTCTATGGCCCGGGCCCTAATTGTCAGCATTTAGGAATCCCAGCCTCTATAAAACAACTTCACTGCTTGGCAGGACACATCTTTTCCTACGTGCATGCGATACACATGCATAGATGGAGTTCCAACCAGCAGAGGGAAGCAGGTGGCCTCACGCCAAGTCAAGCTGCACCACGCATTGCAAGCTGTGCCTAAGTGCACAGATGACAACACAACCAGGCAACAGTTGATTTTGCTTTGCCCAGTCACTATTTTTTGCCGTCCAGTCAACTCCCATAGCTAACGTTCTGCTCTCCACGCCACAGAGCTACCAGACCCTTGTGCAACTTACCCGACAGTAAAATGTGAAGTGCTCTCGTTCAAGTCAATCGAGAAGTGACACAAGCATTGTCACTATAAAGCATAATGGCTAAATCCAGCTTCTAGCAACCCTGGCAGCTACTGCTTTTGTACAAGCTTATCTTGGCTCCTTGAAATCCAGTTTCCATTGCTAATTTTCACCCTTTCAGTGCACCAGGGAGGTGATAACCATGCCTCTCAGACAGGATATTTGGCCCATTAACCTTGATTTGATCTGAAAAACTGACAGGCTTCCCAGCAAAGTGGTATTATCTGGCCAGGTCACGTTCCTAGCTAACGTTTTCTGCGTGTGGAGTGCTATTTCTATCAAGGATATCCTTTGAGAAACGGGCTTCTTCGCAAGTTCAGTGCTTGCAGTCTATCCAGTCAGTCTGGACGCATTTCTTCTGTTTTTTTTGTTTTTAGCAGTAATTTCAATTTGTAGGTAACTCTACAGCCCTAATCTTGGCATTGCAAACCTCCCTGCCAGACACTGGATGCAGATTGTTTTCAGTCAGCGCTCTGAGTTCACTCCTAAAAAACATTTGTGAGGCTCACTACAGCATATTCACTACAGCAACTAATGTGCTAAGTAAAAAGCATTTGTGATTTTATCCCAAACTCAAACACAGTATTTTTGGAGAGTCACAGCCCTCAGAAGCAGGATACAAAAAGGAACTATGAGGAATTTGCCTGCTTAGTTGCTCCTTTCTACCCACATTACCTCAGGAAATATTCAAGACATGGCAATATAATTACTTCAGATAGCAAGCACTTGGTTGTAGCAAGCTGCACTAAAATTGTAATGAAGGTGTATCAGTGTCTTGATGAGTTAGATAAAAATACTCATCTTCTCGAATTCTCCAGCAAAGCAAGAACTCCAGGGACTCAAAAGAGCAGCATTTAAATTTCTCGTTCCCTAAACTGGGCTAAGGCCGACCAAGAATTAGACTCTGTAGGCCTTCACAGAAAGATCTTAGTTCGGCTGGTGGCAGTTGCACAACATAAGTCACGATAATAAAGAAACCAAATTGCTTCTTTCAGAAAAAGAATGGAACTCCCATACATTCAGCCTGTCATCACTCGGAGCCTTTCTGGCGTGCCTGTCTGTATCATACTCCCCACCCTTCATCAGGCTTTTATCTTTTCATTTACATTACTAGGTGGGGACTGGCTTTTAATATCTCTGTACAGCACCCTGCAAAACAAAACTGAGCCTTGGCCCCAGCTGGGAACTGTAAGCACTACTGAAATACAAGTAAACACCTGAACTTTGGTGCACAGGTCCCTTACCGGTACGCCTATACAAGCCCAAAGGGGACAACTTAGCGGGGCGAGGGAACAGTTAACCAGGCATAGCCTTTATGCTGAGACTGACAAAAGCAAACGAAACCACAGCCGTCACAGGAGTGGCTTATATGCCTGGTAGGAAACATGCTGAGCCTCGCCAACTCTTTGTCGGAAACCAGGAACCACAGCAGCAGCGGTTTTCTATGCTTGGCTGCATCCCTTTGGATGCAAAAGCTTCAGTGTGCTGTGGCCAGCTCCCAGAAACATTCCTTATGTCCTCACTGCAATCCCTTCTTCCAACCGAGACGTTAAAGCAAATGCCTTACCCAACACTGACAATAAATCTGACTTCGGGGTACTCGCGTTCTTCTCGGACCTTGGTGATGGCTCAGAGAAACGTGAGGAGACTGCCAGACCAAAGTAGGCTCCAAACAGGTGAACGTGCATCATGCTGATACTGTCTGAAACCTACATCAATAGAATAATCAAATTTGTGGTTTATTTCAGGCCACAGGAAGCCTTTGATGCAGTTCCTGATATAGTTGCTCATGTAACCTCCCTATAAGCAATTTATTTTCACAGTCCCTCAGTTTATGCATGAGTTATTTACACGAGATTAACTTATCCGAGTTCAATGCAGCTCATAAACACACAATTCATATACAGAGAGTTTGGGGTATATTTACATTGTACGTCAAATGCAGATCTGACTCTGCTGTCCAGACTGGGCTGGTATACCATTGACACTGGAGATCTTCCAGGCTGAACTGACACAGGGAGCGGGTGAAGTTTAAGGGCTATTAGTGCCTTAGCACAGGTCAAGGCTTTCATTCACGTGTTGGGGACGGTCAGGGCATGGGCAAGGCACTACATCCCAGTCCATCAGATCAGCTCACCCTTCAAGGCCAAGCATAAAGATATAGCCAATTACATAGATATAGAGCGTGCGGGGCTGGAGTTTGACATCCCTAAGTATAGTCCCAAAGTCAGACTTCATCTCTTGATGAAAACATAGCCACAAACTAACTGGGATGAGATAACACGCACTGGCAGCAGGGCACTAACAAACCACCAAAAGGCAACGTTCCAAAGTCCCAGTGAAATTTTCCCCCATGTGCCTGGAAATCATACTACAGACCTGCAGGAATGTGTTGTTGATCCATTTGCTCACATGGAAAACTATTATCTCCACAACTGTCATCAGAATTAATTGCACAGGATTAGCCTTCCCAAGAACAGCTCCAGTAGAGATGACCACAGCAGTCACACTCACAGCAGCCCTTGTTATTCTGCAACAAAAGAAAGCAAAAAATAATTCTGTACCAGGACCACACCAGGGCCAATAAAGAAAGAATGACAGACAGTAAAATGTACTTAAAAACCCAAAGCCGTGTAAAATGTCTGCAAATATGACTGTGCTAATTCACAAACAGTCCATGTAACAAGGCATTATCCTCCACAAAGAGCAATCAGCAGTTCTAGATTATTCCAACTCCAACACGAACTAATTACCTTTCCGGAACACCTTCATCTTCCTTTTGAAGAAGTAAAATTAATAAATCTTCTATCAGCACAGAGCATTGGACACCAAGTACAACGATCAGGAGGTTGAATCCAGTGCTGCTAAACCCATATCTTCTCAGAAACGTCAGGAAAAAGCCGAATCCAAAAACCACCATGTGGCTGACATCTTGAAAAGCTGCATGGCAGAAAAGACCAAGAGAGCAGTGAAGTTATTAATGTAGACTGGATTTCTGGTTAAAAAATAAATAAAAGATCACAATTAACTAAGAAGACTTCAGATAAAAATTCAGGTGCCATTATTATTTAGTACTTGTAAAGAATTCCACAGCTTTCTTTCCAATCCATAAGTAATCAGAAAAACAATACCCTTAACCCTGAACTTAATTTTACAAAGTGATCAGAAGGCATGCCATAGGATGGGGGTTGAGGGGTCAAAAAGCACAGAAATGAAGTACGTTTAGCCATGACATTTGGACGTTCATTTTTTCCCCGAGGTGAATTTAAAGAGATTAAGTTGGGACTTTTCAGGGAGAGTTACTGCGAATTAGCGCTGACTCATTCCTTGAGGGCACTAGGGAAGAAATGAGTTACAAAGAGAAACCTGTATGATGTCCTCATCTGGGCAGTAGGAACAGAAATAGCAGCAGAAAGCTTAATATGGAAACCAGCACCATTGCGTAAAAGGTAGAGGCTGTCCAAGACATAAGCTCTTGGATCTGTAGGCTTGGCAGCGTCCCCCGGGACATGCTAACATATAATTCTCCTATGGTTGTGCCGGCCTGTACCTACAGCAGAATATCAAACTGCTAGTAAGTAGATCTCATTTTTGAGCTCTAAAACAGGGAGGGTAACACAAGGATGTCACGAGGATTAATCAGCTCATATTTGCACAACACTCTACATACGTTACACACTATGGCCGTAGCATAATCTGCTAATACATTCCTTTGATCAATGCACAAAACACATCTCCAGAATATATTTAAACCCTTAATTCCGCTGTATTAACATCATTTATTTATATCAAGCATTCAAATGGAAAATACCACCATCCTGAATTCTTACTTTGTAGCATAACAACGCCTTCGCGTGCCAAGACCTCACAGAGGCAGGCACTTAACACAGAGCAGTGCCTGCTCTCCGAAGTTTGTTACGTTCATAGGAGTCAAGATTACCACAAAGAGGCAGCAGAAAACAGACCAGCAGTTCAATTTAGCATCACTTACGTCTTCGTTCACTGTCATTGCTGTGATATAAATAAATACACACCACATGTGGCAAGGTAGGGTACTTAAAGGGCAGTAAAAGCATTCTACTTCTCACTAACAAATACACAAACCTGCTGAATCCCATCTCTATTGCACTGCAAAATAAAAGCAGGCATTAACCCTTCCTTTCACAGCGAGGCCGCCAATCTTACCTGGGTTGAAGTCTGATATGAATGCAAGATCATCTGAGTGCAAAAAGTAAAAGGGAACGATGAAAACAGCTTCCAGAAAAAGGATTAGCCACGGCACACTGTTTCGGAAGTTGCGGTAATTAGAAGACATTGTGCGCTAGACTACATTCAGCACAAACACATTAATATTTTTTTCTATAAAAATGTTCCAGTAACCTCAAACCAACAGAAAAGGAGGTGTGGGGGGGCAGGAATAAAAACTCAGAGAGATAAAAAACCCAAGAGGCGTCAGCAAGGAACAGTTCCTTATCTGTGGCATGTCAGGAGCCCAAACTTACCACAACCGACATGAACTGAACTCAAAAAGTACTCATGAACACAGACATACCAGGCTGTCAATACTGTAACGCTCCAGGATACCACCATACAGTACTCCAGCTCCTGTTGAGCCTTACATATCAGCTAAATGGCAAGTAAAGAGGAACAGGGACTCACAAGAGCAGGATGGTGAGGTTTATGCAAAACCATTATTGATTTACATTGCTCGTATCCCTCCTAGAGCCAAGTCCCTTCATATAAAGGTCGGGGAACGTCCCGCCGAGATTCTCAATGGGATTCTCGGCTTGGTTAGGCGATAGCTCTACACCCATGTCCCACGGCAAACCTTCTCATACATGATGAATCCCACCCAACGCCAGAGAATCAAGAATCTCTGGACACGTAAAGGAGATGTAGCATGTCCTACGCTACTTGTAAGATTGGTCTATTGTTTATAGCATGGCTATGGAAACAGCTACAGTGAACACTCTGCAAGGCCTTGGTAATCCCCAGGCCGGGAAGCTGCAGGCAGGCAGCACCACTCAGAGTGCTGCAGGCTTTTAATTGAGAACCAAACCACAGACCTACACCCTCCTCATCTTTAATTCAGACCTAGCCTTCATCCAGAAGCGTATCAAATTCCGTTACCGCATTGTGGCTACAAGGTACCCATTGCCTTATGGGTTCTGAGCCTTTTGGTAAGGCACAGGCTTTTTTTATTTGGTATTGGTGGTGGTTTTTTAAACCAGGAGCCACTAGAGTGAGCATTTTGGGCACACGAGCAGGGCTCTACAGTGGAAGCTATGTCCAGTATATCCCCATGCACAGACATCATAATTTGTTAGATAAGATTATCTGGTTGTTGAGGACAATTTACGAATCCATAATATGAACATTACTATCTTCTCAGTATTCACTGTGCTTTTGGCAAACACTTCTATTTTGAGGTTGTCCAGGAGATTAACGTACTGTAATTATGCCTCAGACTTGCTACTTTGAGGCCATTTCAAATCCAGCGCTGTGCTTGCATGCTGGGTTTGAGATAGTAACAATGCATACACATGGATAGAAAGCCACCTACTGGTGACAGAAGTATCTATCAGACAAACACATATGCAGAAAAATTCCAGTTCGCTTACGTTTTAGGACATTCCTCCTGCAAACCCAGGCTATATGGCACAATAGTGGTTTCCAAGCCATCTGTGAAAGGTTGGCACTTGCGGGGATAACTTGCACCCTCCTCACATACAGCACCAAATTGCTTTACCAGCTTTTACCTAGGCCTAATAAAACCGTAAGTTAAGTATCCTTACCCCCATTTCAGAAACTCCTAAACAACAAAGGACCTTCCCAGATGTGCAGAGCGCTGCCCTGACCTGAGAAAAATCCCGATGCAGACAGACCTACATTCAGCGCCTTTTCACGGGAATTCCGTGGGTCAGAACGCCTGGTAAACTTTCTCTAGATGAGAAAAAGGAAACACCTGAAACTGCAGCTTAGAAATTGATTTAGCTAACTGATGCAGTGTCTTTGTGTGGTTTATAAACGCAATATATCTGATTAGCTTTCATCTGTTTCCTGCAAGACAAACCCTTAGGACTCACACGCGGGATAAGAACGACCCAGAACTCCTTCCACCATTTTGCCCCAGTCAAATGAACACAATCAGTTCCTTTGACATTTGTTACCAAATCCCGTCAGCATTAACACTCGGGGAAAATACACCAAGGGCTAGGAATTCACATGTGTTTTTCCCTCAGGATGACAAGCCACACTGCAAATGCTGATGCTCGGACTTCCAGCTTAAACTCCCTCCCAAACAGAAAGACCTAAGCGCAGTGATCTCAGACAGGGCGAAACACAAAGTAACTTTCAAATCTGAGCTCTGCGACCAGCAAAACGTCCCCATCGGCTCAGCCAAGGGGACCAGAGGCCTCACGCACGTTCCTCCGTGCAGTTTTAACGCCGTTATCGGGACCCGCACGCCTCAGGCTCGGCCCGGCACCACGTGCCCCGTGCTCAGGGAGGCCTGTTATCCCCGCAGAGGCCCGGCACGCCCGTGGCACCCAGCCCAGCTCCGGGCGAGGCCGGAGACCACAAGGCAGCAGGGAGAGGCGCGGGGCGACCAGGGCACCACCACCCTCCAGTCAGCCAAAGGGCGGGCGGAGGGGCCGGGAGGGGCCAGGCCGCGTTGGCGGCTTCCCTCAGGCTCGGGGGGCGCCATTGGGTTTCCCACGGGTTCCCCAGGCCGAAGGGGGGCCAC